TAATACAGTATGTACTCTTTTGGCTTATACATTATGCTTTGGAGACTCATTTATGTTTTTGCATGGATTAGTAGTTCATTCCTTTTTACTACTAAGCAGTATTGCATTGAATGGATATATCATGATTTGTTTATCCATTCTCCTTTTGATTTACATTTGGATTGTTTTAGTTTTTGCTATTATGAACAAAGCACCTACTGACATTCCCATAGAGGTATTTTTGTGGAATTTTCATTTCTTTGGGTAAATAGCTAGGGGTAGGCTTGCTGGATCTAAGTTAGTTGTATGTTTAACCTTAAAAGAAACTGTCAAACAGTTTACATAACGCACTCTTAATGAACCTTATTACTTATGAAGTGAGGTCTTCTAAATTTTTTGTCTTTTGATTTTTGTCTTAAATTGCATTGATATTAGATGTGTGGACATTCTTCTGAAATATCTTAAGGATATTGATTAACTGTGTCATTTTAGTAGATCTTTAATGCTTCTGAGTTGTTTATACAAACAGTTCAAAATCTGAATGACTCCCACTAGAAAACCAGAATGATCTCTTTCATGGATCTCTCCCATATTTTTATTGGTCTTCTTTAATGTTTTATACATACAAAAATATGTGGAACATGTGTTAGTTATTAAGCATAATTATAAAATGGAAATTTGTAAATCCATCACTCAATCCAAGAGTGAACACATTTCCAAATTACAGTGGAAACCCATATGCCTAGGAGCTTCTTATCCTATCCAAAGGAATTCACATCCTTCATTAATTCTTTTGCTAAAACAAAAGCAAAACAAAGCAAAAATATTTATTATTTGAAGTAAGGGATTTCTATAACTTTTGAAGTTTTTCTTGCTTTTAAGAGCTTTATCAAAATGGTGTTATGCTGTGTGCGTTTTTGATACTTGTATATTTTTACTCAGTGTGTTTCAAAGATCTGCTCATGTTGTGTGGGGCTGTAGTTTATTTACTTTTGCTGCTAACATTCCTTTCTGTGAATATATCGCAATATATTGTATTACTTGATACTTGTCAGTTGTTAGTTGTGCTGTTTCTCATATTTGCACTTGATGTATATGATATACATTACATTTTTTGGGGAGTCTGGTACATTTAGCAGAATCATTTGAGATGAAACTGTTATCAAGTAAACGGCATTTTTAAGAAATGAAAACAAGCAATAAGTTTCTGCTCCAAAAGAGGGAGAATCTATAAGATACCTGGGTAAAACGGTATAAAATAAAAAGTGTGGTGCATTGACAGTGTGGGTGTAAAGCAAAGACTCCAATTAATTTTTGTCTACATGATTTTATTTCAAGGTTGAAAAACTAAGTTGGACTTGTGTATGTAGAATATAATCACTGAAGAAATACGAATCACATCCTTTGTCCATGTGGTCAAGTTAGAGCCTAAAGACAACCTAAATTTTTGTTCTTTTTTTTTTTTCCTAAATATTAAGCTATATAATGACACACTTCCCACTTCACTGTTTAAAATAACAGTATGATTGATTTCCAACTACTTCAGGAAAACACATTTAAAAAATTCACAAATGAAAATCATTTTATTAAAAAAACACACAAAAACAAATAAATCCTACAACCCCTACAAAAACCTGCATGTATTTAAAAATTCTATATACCTCTTTATGTTCTTGGGGACAAATAGGCATATTTATTACTAATACTAAAAATACATTGGGTAGTATTTGAAGATTTTATATTAGCACTAGCCTTTTAAAAATCAGCTCTAAATTTTTGTCTTACAAGTATGTATTAAAAATTCTGAAATCAAGTACAACGAAATTATATATCAGTATTTCTTTGTATTTAACTCCAGAGTGAATCTGTAGGAATCAAGACCAACTTCATGCAGAGAACTTCCTGAAGAAATATTTAAAAATTAGTAGACTGGACTTTAATTCTTCATGTGTGGTGTCTACTTTTTAAATAATACATTTTAAGTTTAAGATTCTAATACATTTCTTTCTCTGTTAAATCTAGGAACATCTAAAACTGAAACTCTTTGTTTAAAAATCAAGCTGAATTTCAGTTAAACAAAACCATCCCATTATATGAATAACTTTCTTAGGTAAAACAAGGTTTATTTTCCTTCTATACTCTGAATTGAGCTAGAAATTTCCAAGGAGAAAAATGATCTAGGAAACAACTTTAGAAAAAAAGGGCTAAGTTTCCGTTATGATAGCTTTTGACTTGTTTTCAGCTCTTAATTTAAAAAATTATTTACGAACGATGGATACACGTTCTAATGCAGAAATCTTTTAAAATTAGAGAGTAATAAAAGAAACCTACTACCTTCGTTTACATCAGGTCCCCTCTTACCATTCTACCCGATTGTTTATGAGACAACCACTTCTTATCTCGACAATTCACAACTCTTTTATTAGCCATCCTAAAAAAATTTATTATTGACATCAATTAGCCTGAGTCATGAAATCGGACCACATTAAGGGCGACACATGGTCCAATTACTGTTTGTAAAAGTCCACGTATTTCAAATTCCTCTCTCCTGCCATTGCTGGGCTGTTTCCCTCTTTGAGGACCTGGTCTCCGCAGCATTTATTCATTAGATGGCAGTCCTAGGGAAGTCTCGCTTTGGGGAACCTCTCCTCCTGCACATTCAAGAAAACCACCGCGGAGAGTTAGGGTCGGTACTGGTTTCTAGTCACTTACGTAGCAAACGAAGCAAGAGGAACGTGCCCGGGAGGACTCAAGACAGGTGCGGTTGGGTTTTCGCAGTAGCCGCTGATCCCGAGTGCATGCCGCCTGTTCCCGGGTCGGGACCGCAGCCAAGGGAGGCTTCCCGGCCCCAGCCTCCACCCCCTTCTCGGGGCCCCGGACACGCCCCCCAGCTTCGGAGCCCCGCAGCGTGCACGCGCCCCGGCCGCTCCCCACAGCCGCCCACGTGGTGGAGCCCTGAGCCGCGCGAGGCCGCTGAGAGCGCTCGGGGCGGGCCGCTGGTCCGGGAGGCCCCGCCAGCGCGACCCAGCCGAGTCGGTCCCCAGCCCGGGCCCCCACATTTCCTCCCCCGGAGGGAGGGAGGCGACTCTCCGCGTGCTGCCCTCCCCGGCGCCCGCCGCGCCCTCTGGCGGCCGCCGCGGGGACGCGCCCTGGGCACGCGGGGCCGCCTGTCTGAGCCCCCCTTCCGGGGCGCGGGGCCCGACCGGGGGGCTGCGGGGTCCTGTCTCCTCGCGCCACTCCGGGTCGAGCCACGCGGGCCGCGCCCTTCCCCCTCCGCTCCCCGCAACTCCGGGCTCCCCGGTCTCAACGCCGCGGGTGCCCCAGCCTGGCGTGAAAGTGCCCAGCGTAGTAGCCTGGGGGGGTCTTCTTTTTCCCAGGTGCGCCCCTTCCGCCACGTTCGGGCTTTCCAGTACATAGCGAAAAAAATGCCGCATGCACGCACTTATTTATTTTGCAACAGCTGCAAGGAACAATGAAGCTTTTCAAGAACCAGGGAAACGCGCTTTCCAGCCGCGCTGTTGTTGTTTTCAATGAACCTCTCCCAGCACCGCACTCCCCGCCCACCCCTCCCCTCGCCTGCCCACCCCGCCCCTCGCCTGCCTACCCCTCCCCTTCCTAACCTTTCCCTGCCTACCCACCCCTGTCCCGCCGAGACCGGGTCGGCGGCGGGGGCATTGTTTTTGGAGTCGGGCGGGAGGGTAGGGCGCGTGCGGGGTGGCCGGCGCAGTGGTGCACTGGTGGGGGCGGGAGCGGGTGGGCACGCGCGCGTGTCTCTGTGCGCGCGCGGGAGTCGGCGGGGCGGGACATGGGGGCGGCGCCTTGCAGTCTCGCGCCCCACGCCTGGGCTCCGCTCCGCACGTCTCGGGGATCCCGGGCTCCGGTTTTTGGCTCGTGCCGGCCTGGGCCGGGCCCTCGGCGCGCCGCTGCTGCGGCGGTGGCCGCTCGTGTGTGCGAGCGGGCGCGTGTGCGCGGACCCGGGCGAGCGCGCGCGCGCGAGCCCCCAGTGTGTGGCGGCGGCGGCGGCGGCGGCGCGGCGAGGCTGGGGCTCTTGTTTACCAGCATTAACTCCGCTGAGCGGAAAAAAAAAGGGAAAAATCCCGAGGAGGAGCGAGCGCACCAGGCGAACTCAAGAGAGGCGGGAGAGCGAGAGGGACGCCGCCAGCGAGCCTGCCCGCGGCCGGCGCTCGCAGACCCTCGGCCCCGCTCCCCGGACCCCCCCCGCGCCCTCCACGCCCCTCCCGCGCGGGGGCAGCTCCACGGCGCGCCTCGCCTCGGCTGTGACCTTCAGCGAGCCGGAGCCCCCGCGCAGAGCCGGCGGCGGCGGGCGGGGGCCGGGCGGGGGCAGCGCGGGGCGGGCGGCGGCGCAGAGCCGGGCGGCGCGGCGGGAGTGCTGAGCGCGGCGCGGCCGGCCCGCCGCTTTGTGTGTGTCCTGGATTTGGGAAGGAGCTCGCGGCGGCGGCGGCGGCGGCGGCGCTGAGGGAGGAGGCGGCGGCGAGCGGAGCCCGGAGGAGGAGGAGGAGGGGGAGCCGCTCATTCATTTGACTCCGGGTTTCTGCCCCTCGCCGGCCTCGCCTGCGACCCGGACTTGGGGCGATCTTGCGAACTGCGTCGCGCCCTCCCGCGGCGGAGGCTCGGGCGTCCGGCCACCTCCCGCGCGGCAAGGGCCGGGCTTGTTTTTCCTCGCCGAGGCAGATTTGGGCTTTGCCCCCTTTCTTTGCAGTTTTCCCCCTTTCCTGCCTCTCCGGGTTTGAAAATGGAGGCCGACGACGCCGACAGCCCGCCCCGGCGCGCCTCGAGTTGCCGACTCCGCCGAGCCCTGGGCCGCTGCTGCCGGCGCTGAGGGGCCGCCCCGTCCGCGCACCCGGAGGGCCCCGGCGGCACCGCCTTCGGAGTATTGTTTCCTTCGTCCTTGTTTTTGGAGGGGGAGCGAAGACTGAGTTTGAGACTTGTTTCCTTTCCTTTCCTTTTTTTTTCTTTTTCTTTTCTTTTCTTTTTTTTTTTTTTTTTTGAGAAAGGGGAATTTCGTCCCAAATAAAAGGAATGAAGTCTGGCTCTGGAGAAGGGTCCCCGACCTCGCTGTGGGGGCTCCTGTTTCTCTCCGCCGCGCTCTCGCTCTGGCCGACGAGTGGAGAAAGTGAGTATGTGCCCGCCGCCCGCGGCCACTGCGGGAACTTTTCCTTCGAGGGGCTGCGCCCTGTTTGCGAAACCCGAGTTGCCACCGTCGCAGCTGTCGGGCCCCCGGGCTCGGGAGCGGCGGGGCGGGGCGCGGGGTGGCTCTGCCGGGAGGGAGGCTGCGGCGGACCTGGGATCCGGGCTCGTTCGTCTGGAGCCCAGCGGGCCCTGGCTCCGCACATCCCCCGTGCTGGAAGGGCCTGAGGGGCTTTCTCTCTAGTCGTGCCGACAGTCCTGTCCCCCGGCTAGGCTCGAGGACTCGGTAGGGAAGTTGGTGCCGGGGCGGGCACCAAGGGTTCCCAGGCCCCGCGACCCGCACCTCGCCCCTCCGGAGCGCACGAGCCTCTCCGCACATAGCGCTGATCCCATGCGGCGCGAAGGCAGCGGGGACTGCACCCTGGGCCGCACCGCGTCTCCGCTGCTGGGGCTGATCCGGCAGTGGGGAGCAGGCATCCGCCCGGCCCGCGGGGTGCGAGTTGCCCTTGAGGGGGGAGGTGCCCTGCGGAGAGGCCCCGAAGCCCCAGGACACGTCTCCAAGCGCCTGGCGCTGCCTCCCGTCGCCCAACATGCATTTCCCCTCGGGCTCCTAGGGTTCCTGGCCTTGCCCGTTACTTTGGCCCGCTCCTCGTTGGGTTACCTGCCCCTGGCGTCCCGGGGCTGGGCGGTGGGGTGAGGGGAAGCGCTCTCTGGGCAGCTCCCCGGGGAGTGCGAGGCCGGGAGTCTTCCTCAGCTTGTCTTTTACGGGGAGCGCCACTGGGCCCCCAGTTCAGAGGGCTCTGGGATGGCCTCTCAGTTTCTCCCGGGCAGGGGCATGGAGGGGTGCTAGGGCCGCATCCGAATGTGCGTTGGTGGGTGTGTGGTCGGAGCCGACGTGCATTCCGACACACGTGCTCGCAGCGCGGGGTGTAGTCGCCGCCTCACGGGGACACCGAGACGCCCGTCCCTGGCGAGAGGTGTCCTACGCTGTGGGTTTCAGGAGCGCCAGGGTCTGCGGCGGTGGGGGAAGGGTGTTGTGTTTTGCGAGCGCGGAGCCCTGGCCTTGGTTTTGTTGTGGCCGGCGTCGTGTCGCCCTCCCTTCTGCCGCCGCGCACTTCCTTTGTACGCAGTTAATAAGCAGTATCGTTCCATACTCGCTATGTTTTGCAACCTGATAGCTTTTGTTTTGGTGGTGTCGGGTAGGGGTAGGTAGGGAAGCGCGGGGATGCAGGGAGTGGGAACTCCCCCCAGTGTGTACAGCCACAGGAGGTGGGGGGTTTATTCTCAAAAAATTGAAAGTGTGGCTTACTGGTACATTCAAGATAGTGGGGTAATTTGAACACGATTAAAAGTTTAAATGTCGCAGAACTGGGATCGGGAACGGTGAGGGCGTGTTGGTGAGTAATGGTAGCCGAGGGTATGCAGGTGGTGCCGATTAACTTCGAAAAAAATCACGACTGAGCCTTCAAGAGTGAGGGGGAGAAGTAGGAGGCAGCGGAGGTTGTCTGGCCCCATCACTGGGGCAATTCAGAAAGGCTGTTTCTATAAACAAATCCTTAAACGTCTCTTAAGAAATGAGTGCGCGACATAACGAGAGCAGATCGTGGTTCGCGTGTTTACTGCCGAGTGGGACGCGGACTGGGGCCGGACCTTGCACAGATCTGGGCTCTCATGCTCTTTGTTTTCTAAACTTTAAGCGGACTCGATTGGGCGAAAGCCTTCCGGCTCCCTTTACTAAGTCGTTTAGGTGGTGTTTGAGGGGGACAAAGGAGGGTTTTTTATCTTTAAATGATAAGTACGGTTTAGAAGACACGGGAGAAATAATCCGTTTTATTATGGTGTGCAGTTAAACTGTAGAGCTTCTCTAGTTTTGTGTTTTTAATGTTCTGAAATTCAAAATAGCAGGGATGGCCTTCTCCGACGCAGGAGTCGGGCATTTTAAAATAGGCTGTTTTTCTTTTGGAGTGTTTTTCTTGAAGGATATTCTTTGTGCGAGACGACGGTTTTTGAGAACACAGACAGGAGGGGAGGGGGTGTTTTAATGTATGTTTTTACTCCATGATGCCAAAACTTCCCCCAAGGATCCCTTTACAAGTGGTTAGTTCCTTGAAACCTCATGGGTGGTCAGAAGACACCCCAAATCTCGATTATGGTTTGTTGAAGTCTTGACTGACTCAGTACCTGCCCCTCCCTCCATCTCTGAAATGTGGAGGATTAAAAGCTATGCCTGTGAACGGGCGTTCAGTTTTTAGCCGGGAAGGTGCTAGACCACTTAACTCTGATAGAAATAAGGTGCTGAGCCGTGTCAGGGAGGGCATTCTTTCGGCTGTTGTCTGGTATAGAAATAAAGGCAGGGTGTTGTTGGTTCAGTTGCAGGTATTTTGCTGGCGTAGTGAAACATTAGAGTTTTCTCTTTTAGTGTGATGGCAGTAGAAAGAAAACTGTTTATCTTAGAAAACTTAGTTTCTGAAGCAAAGGCAGTCATATGGATGTGTTTGTTTTGTATCACCATAATGTGAACCAGAGCATCTAAATGAAGGAGGTTCGGAGGTTCTGAGTGATAGCCAGATAATCTGATGGCTATTTTCTTTCTAAAAAGTCAGCATGCACTTTAAATTTACTGTACCCATCTCCTTAAAAGGATTCAGTCATCTTTCTACCCCAGGCATCCTATTGTCAGAGAAATGTAGGTATGTGAAATGTTGGTGTTTAAAGAAGTTAGTGTTTATTACCAGATGGAGAACCCAGAAAAAGAACGTTTGAAAGAACCTAAACAGCAAATTATAGTTTAGATTCTCTAGAAAGACATAGCGAGTAAATGGTATTTTGTGGAAGGGTGGGGTTTGTGTCAGGATTTAGAATTTAAAAGGTCATATGTTTGATTTGTCGAAAAGATTAGAAAAGTCCAACTCTAAGAAATATGTTAAGGTTGAATAGATGAAGCTTAAAAATATCACAAAAAAGTGAAAGAAGTCAGTCACAAAAGACCACATATTATATGATCCGGTTTATGTGAAATGTCCAGAATAAGCAAATCCATAGAGGCAGAAAGGAGATGAGTGGTTGCCAGGGGCTGGGGGTCGATGGAATGGGGAGTGACTGCTGCTAGTGGGCACAGGGTTTCTTTTTGGGGTGATGAAAATTGTTCTAAAATTAGTTTGTGGTGATGGCTGCATAGCTCTGAATATACTTAAAACCATTGGATTATATATATACTTTAAATCGGGGACTTTAATGGTATGTGAATTACATCTCAATAAACCCGTTTTGGTTTTTTTAGAGAAATGTGCTCAGGTTGAAAATAACTTGTTATGCTACCTTAAATTACATTAAAGTTACTACATATATTTGGCAGGCTGATGTCTCTCTCTCTCTCATTTATGAGTTTTTCAGATCCGTGAGTTGCAGCAATACAACAAACTGATAATTGAAGCTTAGCAACTGGGATTCAATCCCCTAGTAGAAATGGGCAAGCAAGAAAAAAAGAATCTTGGTTCTATGTAGCTTCAGTTAGGGATTGAGGAGCTGGATTGAAAAAACACAAATACTGGTGGAAGGCAGATTTTTGACAATAGAAACCTCAGCCGAATCTGAAATGATGGTTTTTTCCAAGATAGAGCTTAGTCTGAATGGCTGTTTGTATTTCCAGTTTTATTATGTTTTCCAACAAAGAAATGCTGTTTTAAGATGTTTTAAACGCTCATTTTTTGATATGCCATATTGACCACAAGTGGTTGTAAGGACTGAGGATGAACAGTTCATTTTAATGCAATACAGTATTGTTGTTTTCTTTTCTTTGTAGTTTTATTTTATTTCTTACATAGTTCCAGGGTCTGAGCAGGAGAAAGAAATTTTAGGATGCAGTAGTTTTAAGATACAGTGTTTCAGATATACAGTGATTTTTATAAAATTAAAATTCCTTACAGAACAAAAGATTTTAAAATGTGGCAAAGGCATTTTTGTTTTGAAACTGTGTGCATTTATCCAAATTTACCCTGGCCTTTCAATAGAAAAAGACCTAGAGAATAATTGTTGTTTACATTTGCTTTTCATCTTTGTCTAAGGCTTAGTTTACTAATAAAAATGTTTCCTGCCCTTCCTATTGTTGCAAGATCAGGACAGTAATGAAAATCAACTGTATCATTTTCACTTGTTGCCTTAGAGTTTTTGCCAAGAGGAACCCTCAAGGGATGGTGGTTTCCTTTTAAATCTGGTTTCATTTGTTTCGTAAGAATGTGCTGTAAGAAGCAACTGAATCCAGCCAGCACTTATTGTGCACCTACTGTATGAAAGCTGACCTTGTGCTACTCAGTGCATGAGCCTGCAAAGTCTTGCATGAAACCAACTTTCTTGAAATTCAGATTTTTTTTTTTCAGATTCAGTATAGGATGCAGTTTTCAAGTAGACGGTAGGCAGCATTTTGAAGGTTCTTTTAAAAATATTTCTGTAGACTTAAGACTCTAGTGTTGTTCATCCAGAAGCCTCTACCGTACCGTTTTTGCCTCATTGGTGCTTTCCATTATATGGGGATGCCACTGTAGACCATGACATATAGGTGATGTTAACCCATCTTGACTGGCAGCACTGCCTTTTTTATAACATTGGATATGGCAATGTGATTTAAAAAGTGCAGTATTGTAGTTGCCTTTTTCCAAAAATTAGGAGTCACAGGTGTGTACATGAATGTTGCATGGCATGTTTTGAGTTGTAAGAAAGATGGGACTTATGTCTGAAGTTTTCTGGATTACATATTGCTTAGCTAGCTTTCTAGAAATCGTCGGCATTCATCATTTCAGGGCATTTTATAATTTATAAATAACTTGGTGTTTTTAAAAGCGTGAGGGAGTAAGAATGAGGAGACAAGTCCTGAAAGCTTTTGTTTTTTAGTTGTAAAGCATACAAGATATATTTCTTTCTAGGTTGTGATTTTCTCCAATTTGTTTTCAAAACTCATTTAAAAATCAAACCTAGTTCATGGAAGAGGTA